TTCAAGGATCACTGGCCTTTAAGAGTGTTTTCCAGTCCAGCCTGTTGGGGTACCACGCCCTGTCCCCAAAGTCAACTGCTTCTTATGCATATGAATAAGGACATTGAATAAGGAAGCCTGAGGAAGGATTGATGCATATGAGTTATGAAGCTGGAGAATAAAAAGTGACCTGGACTGTCAGAGAACAAACATATCTGTCTTGGAAGTACAGCTAGAATGATCCTTAGAAGTAAGGGTGTGAAACTTGGTCTCACAGACTCTGGACCATGCTCTCAGGAGAGACCAGTCCCTGGGAAAGGACGTCATGCTTGAAGAGCAGCGAGAAAGAAGACGACCTTGGAAGAGATGAGTTGACATTGTGGCTGTAACAATAGGCTCAAACATAACAATAGTAAGGAGGTGAGGGATTAGGCAGGGTTTTGTTCTCTTCTACTAGGCTTTCTATCAGTTGGAACTGACTTGATGGTACCTAGCAACAACAACATATGTCCTGGTGGGTCATGATATCCTATCTATGTATCGACTGAAACCGCAAGACTGCAAGCCCCTTGGAGGCAGTGTCTTCGTGTCTAGTGCTACTATGACAGAAATATAATACGTGGATGTCTTGAACAAGCACATGCTTTCTCTGTCACACAGTTTAGACGGCTAGAAATTCAAATTCAGGGCATCTGTTGTAAAAGAAGTTTTTTTCTCCCCATCAGTTGTGCAGAGATCCTTGTCTCCTTTCAACATCTGCAGACTTGATCCTGTTGGAGATCTCCATGTGTCTGGACATCCATCTTCCAGGTCTAGCAGGATTTTAGTGCAGGGAACCCAGGTCCAGAGATTCCATTCGTGGTGGTGCTGAGGTCTCTCTGATGTTTGAACCTCACTTAATCATTTCTATCTCAAAAGAAGTTGACTGAACATATCACCTGATCCTGTAGATTGTGTTCTGCCTCATTCACAGAACTACCTCTAAGTCTGCTTCATTCACATCACAGAGATGAGGATTCAAAACACATCACATGATTATACTCAATCGTAAAATGGAGGATAATTACAGTAGTACTGAGAATTGTGGCCAGCCAAGTTGACACAGAGTTGGGTGGGAGAGGGGACATAACTCAGCCCATGACAGGCAAGGATCATGATCTTTTCACTACTGTAGTCTCAGTCCTAACTCACAACAAACAACCTCCTGCTGTGTAGTTGATTGACTCCCAGCGGCCCTACAAGGGAGAGTAGAACTGCTCAGTAGGAGGGTTTCTGAGGCTGTGAATCTTTATA